ATTCTTGTAAAGGAGATCAAGTAGATCATCTCTAGAAAAAACCCGAACTCAATAGTCAAACACTTTCGGGAAAAAAAAGCCGCGAAAAAATCCGCAATAATTATGCATCAACCTAATAGATGGATAGATTACCGTATCCAAGGAATTTCTTTTGTTGTACTTGGCTGGTGAACACGAGTGTGGTGAACACTTTTTTGGTGTGCATTCCACTCGTGATATTAGTACGGCAAAAGAGATGAAGTAACTGTACTAGTAGATCAACAAAGCCGTCACAAATGATCACTGTCAACTGCCACATGCAGCGACCGCCCTGCGATCTGTCTAGAACTATCTTAGGTGACCGAGTACGATCGTACGACCAATGAGCTGATTAATCGAATAGGCAAATTCATGAGAAACTGAGAAATTATAAAAAAAATGAAACGCACTCGCTTCCTACCACATATCGGATTTGCACTTACGGCACCGCGACGCCTTTGTTGGCTTGGCTTCTCAGAATGAGGAGGGAGCGTAGACTGCACAGACAAAATATGCTATTTTTAAATATAGAAAAATAAATAGAATTAAAAGGAGAAAGGATGAAAGAACTGAAGTATTCTTTATGGAATAATATACCTTCTGAACGGACGGCTTGAGATCGCAGAGGTCATTTTCAAATAGAGGAGGCTCTGATGAACTACTGACTTCCTCATCTAATTCCGTTTTTATTACTACTTTGGTGTCCTAAACTCTCTCTTGTCTTACTTCACAGAAACTCTTGAAGTGATTAAAGTAAATGTCGTCCGCAGCATCTATTTAGGAAATAGTAGAAGTATTATGCTGCTCACTTGCTTAGAGAAACGAACGGATTTCGGAAGGCGAGGCTGTTGTTTCTTTTTCAACTCAACATCCTCAGCAGAAAGCGCTTTTGTCCTCGCACTCGAACGAATAATACGTTCTTTTAGGGAAGCCGGCTGAAATAAATAGGTAACCAACGAATGCGGAGGACTTCAGTCATAGCATTGAGCTGACAATCCCCCCCCCCCCTCTAATACAGTCTCCCAATTCCATTTGAATGAAAAGATTCAGCTGCAGAGAAATTTATTTATAAATACAAACTCACCAAACAGGACCTCTTCCGGCGACCATTTCGACCATCTGATGACGATTCCTTTTGCTTTGAGGCGACTTCAACGTCTTTCTCCAGAAAATCATATTCAATTCGAGCCTGCTTATTGAAGTCAAACTACTAATTAAAATGTGACAGCATGCCACAACGTCGAGCAATGAATAGAAGCTGTCTTCGGCAATTCGCGGCTGACCCACTAACCCGATGACGATCATATTCAGTCGTTACCACTGCTCTACTTTTTCTTCTGATTTCCTTTCTCGAGCGATCCAACGTCTACAACTTATTCTAACCAAATCTTCGTGTTTCTCTTGTTTCTTGCACAAAATTCCCGATTTTCTGAAGGACAAAAGAAAGTGGGGTTAATTGAACGCTCTCCACCCTTTACTTCTGGGGACAAATGGTTACAAGCACAATGTCCTGGGAGTATATTACATCACGAAATGATGTAGCACTAATTTGAACAGACTGAATCCTGCCAAATTACAGTTGTATAGATAAAGTTGATTATATCAAGAAAATGTTCCGTGTGTGACCGAACAAAACGACAGGTCCCTGCCAATTGGATCGTTCGATTTGTTTGTGACAACTATACATTGCGTTAAATTCTATTATATAGATAGCCGGTGAGTTTTCAAATTTGCTACACTTACCCTGGAAAGGTTTCCTTTCGCAGGAGATTCATATTCATCCGGGGGTTCCTCCTTTATCAGCTTCGCACAAACTTCTTGGACCGGGTTTTCCTCCTTTACCGCCTTCTCACAAGCTGCCTGTAAATTCAAAAATTAATAATATACATCAGGAAAAAAGAAACTAAAGCCTCACCTCGACCTCAGGTTGACCACCCTCTTCTTCTTCGACAATGACAAGTCGGTCTTCATCAGAATCAGAATCCATTTCACCCAAGCAAGCTAAGCAAATAACGCGGTTATGGTTAATCGAAAAAATGAAACAGTGGGAATGCGCTGGAAAAAAGGGATTCGCTGCAAGACCGCTAATATTGACTTGGAGAAACACGTTATGGGTAGCCGGAATTCCTCTCGCTGCGAGAGCTCAAACGGGGAGAGAGCTTGCGAGCGAACCCGAGTAAGCATGGGTAAGGCTATTGTTCGGGAGCTGGGCGATTACGTAGAAGGCTCCTGAGTGTCGTACGTGGGATTGATAAATACCTTGGGACTGCTGAAGGCTCACTTCATGATAAGAATGGTTTTTGAGCTTTTCTCGCTGAAACAACTCTGTTTTCATTAAGGACAGCGCGTAGGTCGAAAAGCGACTTGTTAGGGCGTAATAGTGCCTTCCAGAAGAGACTTCGCCGGCGTACACGCCTAAAGATGGACGTGCTTTAGCACCCGTGTAGCGGCTGTACTGTTCACAATGGAGCACTTATGTTGAAAATCCAAACAGCTGATCAGGGAGCATCGTAGTATGCCATATAACAGCAAAAAACATTAACAATAAAGGAACAATACTACACTTATTGTTGGAGTAGCAATAGACAAAATTTCCAGTCCAGGCAGCCCCGACCCTGGCAACAGTGGTAAGCAATTGTTCGTATTTTTTGCTCATTGCAGCCAGCTTTTTACGCAACTACACGCGACTGAATCTCATCCAATTATCGCTAGTACGATACTTCAATGTCGCTTCCAACGTCATAATCTCGTACAACTCCTTATTTCTACTACTTTCTGAAGCCTTATTTTCCTTGAAATCGGCCGATATTCGCTATTCACTCCTCAGTTTGGCACTATTCTCTACCATCACTTCTACTCTTTCCCTTAAACAGGTAGCTCAAAATTAACTGTACCTTCAAAAAAACTTGAAGTTCTTCTGTTAGTGACTTGCTCTTTCTCTTAGCGTCTCGAATTGCCCACTCCTCTCGTGGAGAATAATAGCTTTCCACGGTTACGCCCATAAAGCGAGATATTTCTCGTCACCAGTCAGTTGGCCGGCGATATACATATATGTAGGGATTGCTGGACGAAAAACACTGGGCTTGCAGAGGTTCTTCCGCTTTCACATTAGCAGTCCAGCATTTCGAGCCACATGTGGTCGATCCTCTAAGATGCTCTTCGGCCATTTCGTCTCGACCGTCTCTTTGTTTGTGACAAGATTGTTTAGACATTTTACAACAATACCCTCTATATTAAAATTTATTGCTTTTTCATTCCTGATTAGAGGGATCTTTCTGATTTTTCTTCGTCCTTCTAGTTCAGCCGAAATACTGATGAAACGAGCACAGGGACTGGTACCTCGTCGTCGAGACAGGTGGCTGTCAAGTTTCCATCGACTACCTTAGATAGTAGATAGAAAGAAAGGGGGTAGAAGGGGTAGTTCGTCGAACAAGTAAGCAAAATGGCCCATGTTTATAGTGGACTGACAGTTAACAGTTCTATTCTTCTATCCTCCAATACTCCAAAGTGGAGTCCCATATCTCAGGTCCCTAATTCAGTTAGAAATCCCACACTTTTTGGGAGAACTACCTACTGTGGACTCGCGAGTATTCTCTTTGAAGTTATAGCCACTTTGCTTTGTAACATGTGGGTCAGCTTTGTCAGGCAGTCATGGAGTTCATCGAGAAAATTATTGTCTCCTTATTTTCACTCCGAACGGATTCCCTGTAGATTCCTCTAATGCACACGGATAGGGAAGTGAAGTTGAGAAATCTAGGCGTTAATGAGTTTAGCAGGAGTCTTTTGAAAAACTCCCTATCTATCCTCGTTTATCTCTTCGCATTTCCTCGGCTTAGGATAATGAGTTCCATTTTAGTCGCCTTCCTCTGCTTATGAGCAATTGCAATTANTACATAGTTTCCAAACCGGTTAGGATTGAGCTACGTAAATGTTGTTAGACTGTTATACGAAGTAAGACTGTTTCGCCTAAAAAGCGGACCTCATTGGAGGTTTTTCTGTGAATGCGAGAACCCCCATGTGGGGTGGGGTATCAGTTCAAATGGAATAGGAAAATGCCTTTGCGTCTCAGCCAGCCTAGAGAGATTTCCGATTTTTCGTTCGCTACGAAATGTTTTTCCTCCAAAATTTTGAGGTCTGACTGACCCTGCTCGACTTGCTGGTTACTAGTTAGCCCACGGGATTGTGGTAAATTCTAAATCGTTTCGACAAGGTTTGTGAGAAAATACTCAATTTTCACAGGCCAGGTTCTACAGAACTCTCATGCACTGAGTAATGAGGCCGACAGCTAGCTGAACCAGTAAAAAATTCTGAAATGACGTCATATTATGGAAAGGGTCCACGAGGGGAACGACCCGGACCCATGTCTTTGACCACCGGTCACGTTCCTCTCCATTACATCCCAGCACCCTAGGATATCTCTGCTTTTTTCTTCACTGATGTGTTTCTTCAGAATGCGTGGCAAGTTTGCAAACGTTTCATTAAGGTGTCATTCATCCGCCTAACAGAAGTATGTATTATGTAGGAGAAATTATGTATTATGTAGCTATCACCCGAATCATTCTGTTTTGAGTAAACACAAATTCCCAGTAAAAGCCTATTCCCTAGTGGTAAGATTTTATTGTAACCGTCTGTCGGAAACAATTAAATGGTCCATATCATTTTCTGTTTATCAAAACAACATCATTTACAGTTTCCAGCCATCCCCTGGGAGCTAATCAAATCTGGTAATCCTGAAACCCGTCACTTTGCTTGCGTCTTCTGCTTCACTTTGCTGCACTCAGATTCTCTTTCATAGCTTGTCATCGTCGTACTGGGAGCTTCAGACTCAGGAACCACCTAGAGCTTTGACAGGCAGTCACCCCTTCTCGTGGCCACTCCATGTTCTGAAGATGGTGAGATGAATGTCGCCGTCAGATAGCTACGGTTGAGGCCCAGAAGATTTTGAATCCCTTTTTTAGCTCATTCACCTCGTCTCCTATGATCATCTTTGTTTCCTAGACCCAATTCACCCTCGATGAGAGTAGAAGTGGCGGAGGTGGAGGATCGGGTGTTAGGTGCCCTCACAGTTAAAGGGGCTCCGATGGGTGCTTGCTTCGTCCACAACTTCACCTGAACATACCTTGAACACATTCTATTCATTAGAAAGCGCCGCTAATTCGAGGCTGAACAAGATGCTTAGGCACTACCAGGGCGCCTTCTGTTGCTTCCTTACTTTTTTGCAGGAGGGCTTACAACAAGCCTTCACTTCTGCTAAAAATATTCAATGGAGTCATGCAATGTTTCAGCTGAAGTGGTTCAACAAATTAAGTGGGTAAGCGAAGGCAAGGAACCCACTCTACAAATTGGTGATAAAGCCAGGTATGCCCCGGAGCTCCAATTAATGGTTGGTTGTTGACATATGCTCTGACAAGCCAATCAAGGAGGAACGCAATTTGCACTGCACTCAACTTGCCCCTTGTTCTTTCTCAATGAAAATCATCTGCGATTGTTTCAGGGGTCTTCTCTAATTGATGACGCCTAGGTAATTTTCAATTACTTGAGGGTAGCGGATTCATGGAATGAATGAAGATGGAGATAGGGTAAAAAAGGAAATCTGATTAGTGGAGTTCTCCAAGTCTCTGTGAGCTTCAGGCTTCAGCTCTCGCCCAAGCTAAATCAGTCAACTAATGTACTTTCCAGGTTTAGCAGTCGGATTCACCTTTCCCTAATCCAACTTTCCTAAAATGTCACGAATTTCCTTTGTGTTCCCAGCTTCTTAGCTTTGTAGTCCTCGAACGTCAGTAGGTAGGGTTCTGTAGGCATTATTCATATTCACAGCTATTCATAAGTTCACGGTGAGCGATTGGCAAAAATCTGGCCTTCCTAGTGAGTTCCATGAAAATGGCCTTCTAGGGAATATGGTAAGGTAGTAATGATGGACAAGGTGGAAAAATAAGGTAGCCAGAGAGGAAATTAAAGTATAATAACATCATAAAAGCCACCATTCACCAGAAAAGCTACAGGAAATTCCCAGGTATCGAGTGACTCGTCAAAAATTGGACCATTGATTCGAGACCCAATTGGTTTGTATATTGATACTCGATTTTCGACAATTATATGGCCTTCACCCAGAAGCGATGAGAACGGATTAGAAATCAAAAAAGTTATTTGCTCACCCTTGTTAATAATTGATTTGTAAGCTGATCCATTTGTTTGCTCAGCCTCAGGCTTGGTTTCTTTTTCGGACACCACGAAGGCTTGGTCTTCTCGAACCCTTTCCAATTTGGCCCGACTATTTTATCAAGTGAAACTTTTTGAGATACCCCAGAAACCACTCAAGTCTCAGTATGGTCCGCAAAACATTTCTGCGAATTCCTTTCCAACGAGCCAGTTCTTTTAGTTTCAATTTCATGCCTCTAATCCCAAAGGAAAGCTACAGTACCTGGTCGGTAATTGTGCCATTTGTTTGGAGAATGTTTTTAATTGTTATTCCATTTCCATCAGGCACGAGTTACTATCATGACAAGAAGATTCGAACTGCAATTACTGCCGTTACTCATGTTGCTTCTCTTAATGACTTTCGCTATTGAGCCCGACATCTGGGTGGGAGGCTCAGCGAGCTTTCTGGAACTCCACCATTTTCTTCATGACTACATGCTAATAGTAACCGGTATACTGAGAGCGGTCTTCTTGTTAAGCTGTTCTAATGGAGAGGGTGATTTCTGTGAATTCCTATTCACACGAAAAAATGGGCAATCTCGGGAAGGTAGATTTTGTCCTAACTTCTGGGAACTCTGCGATTTCCGAAGCTCTAACATCTTCCTCTTTTATAATGGCATCAGCCAGCTATATGTCAGTCTTCATCCTCTTCAGCTGACATCATCCGACTTTATGATCTCGAACTGACAGGCTGTCTTCATCGGAGTGATGTGACTTCTTCAATGGTTAGATTTGATTGCGGTAAAGCTGAGGATCTAGACCACCGTAATGCAGCTTGCTTGGAATCTC